CAGTCATATTGTCTGTTAGATTTACTTGCAGTCATATTGTCTACGTTAGATTTACCTGCAGTCATATTGTCTATATTAGATTTACCTGTAGTCATATTGTCTACATTAGATTTACCTGTAGTCATATTGTCTACATTAGATTTACCTGCAGTCATATTGTCTACATTAGATTTACCTGTAGTCATATTGTCTACATTAGATTTACCTGTAGTCATATTGTCTACATTAGATTTACCTGCTGTCATATTGTCCACATTAGATTTACCTGCAGTCATATTGTCTACATTAGATTTACCTGTAGTCATATTGTCTGCATTAGATTTACCTGTAGTCATATTGTCTACATCAGATTTACCTGCAGTCATATTGTCTACATTAGATTTACCTGCAGTCATATTGTCTACATTAGATTTACCTGTAGTCATATTGTCTACATTACATTTACCTGCAGTCATATTGTCTACATTAGATTTACCTGTAGTCATATTGTCTACATTACATTTACCTGTAGTCATATTGTCTACATTAGATTTACCTGCAGTCATATTGTCTACATTAGATTTACCTGTAGTCATATTGTCTGCATTACATTTACCTGCAGTCATATTGTCTACATTACATTTACCTGCAGTCATATTGTCTACATTAGATTTACCTGCAGTCATATTGTCTACATTAGATTTACCTATAATCATATTGTCTACATTAGATTTACCTGCAGTCATATTGTCTACATTAAATCTATTGTTAGTCTAGATGTCTCATTATTATTGACCATTATTCATGATATACATTGTTGTAATGTAGCATACACTTTTCTAAAATGTTGCACCCTCTAGTGACGTAAAAATGGCATTAATGTGTGTAAGGTATGACATTCAAATTCCTCCTGTGTTGTGTAGTTGTTTGTACTACTGCGAATCTCTGAAGCATCTTTTTTAATTGACAGTCAACCACAAATCAAAACAATATCAATGATGTGAATGATGTTTCCTACACACATTTACGTCTGAGAAGTGCTTTGTTGCTAGGGGTTACGACTAATAGGACAATGTATTATGAGATAAAATGATACATCAATGTCATTGTGTTTGACCACTTTTTGCTGTATATATTTTACATCCGCTGTAACTAATGAAGACCCAAGTGAAGTTTTTCGTATTAATAATCTCTTGTTGCTCTTGTTTTCCCATTCATTCACTTGTTTTCCTTCTAACAACACTAATATTTAGATTTTCATTAAACTGATTGCATTCATATGGTACAACATAGAATCATGGTGTCTTGGGATCGTCTTAAAAACACACTATAATATTATAGCACTAACACTAGACACAGAATGTTCACTAGCTTTATGCATTCAACAAATTAAAAAAAAAAAATAATTGCAAGAATAACTATTTCATGCTAAATAATAGAATATTATTAAAATGAAAATGTGCAAAATTAAACCACATTAATTAATAAATAATGTCATGAGAATTTATAATGTCCATGTGCCATCTACATTGATTGTTTTCAAGAGTTTCTCAGTATTGTATTGAAATTAATCTTTGCATTAACTTTGTTTTTCCATTGAGCTATTAGTTCAAAGTACATGAAATTCTAAATAATAGCATTCAAGTTGAACACTTTTGGTTTTATTTCACTGGTCACATAACAAGAATATTTTTCTTTGAGAGAGACAAATAATTCATTCATTTCACTGGATTTGAAACATGAGGACAACCCTATGCTTGTTACACTTTGAAATAATTTGATTTTACATTTCAGTTCAGTGTTTAATGAAGTACGAAACATGTTTATAGAAGCGGCTCGTCAATCACCGAATGCTGTAGATCCAGATGTACAAAATGGTCTTGGTGTCCTCTTTAACTTATCTGGAGAGTTTGATAAGGCTGTGGATTGCTTCACTACTGCCCTCAGTGTCAGACCTGAGGTGAGTTGCATTATGGGATCTTAGTTTTGAATAAAGACATTACTGTATAAATTGTTGGCACTATCAATGTATGATTTCATGAGGGGCATTTGTGATGAAATTTTTCAAAATAATTACCAATTTATTTTTGTTTCAAATTGTTGCATAATTGTTGATTTATACACTTGGCACCAACTTTTGGAGTTTTTTACTCAGTAAGAAATACTTTTTTCAAGAAAAACTCTTTACATAATTTGAGCTTTCTGAAATTGCATCTGTGATTTTGCAAAATTCATTCTTAGTGCCATATAGCACATGTTTTTACACATGGTTAAGTTTCAACAGATTATTATTATTAAACATTTCTATACAGTTTAATTACTACACTTATCTTGGAGAACATATTACTAACATCAGGTTTTCATTATATGAATATCAGCAATATAAATGTCTACTTATTTCTATGTCTTTCTATGTCTACAAATTTTACCCCATCACTGAATTTTTCACAGTGATTGATAAGATCAGATACACATTGTATGAGTTACTGTAAAGAAGATTGTAAAGATGTTAATACAAAAATACATAGAATTCGAACCAAAGTTTAACTTGTTTAATTGTAATTGTAACTACCAGTACAAGAAAACTATTACAACGAAGTCAACGACAACAAGGACAGAAATTTTCCTCTTGTATACCTTGCTTTTCATCTACTATGATACAGAGCTGTGGTTGACCATTAGAAACACAGAAGGGGGTGGTGGATTTAAAATAATGCAGAAAAAAAAAATCACACACACACACTCCATGTCATCGTGTTTATCTCAAAATTAAGTGAAAAAAACCTTACATAGCACCTAATTGTACAGAAGTAGTTCCAATAGAATTACAGTGGTTACCATGTGAGAATGGGGGTGTATGATTTTTAGCTTGCCCAATTTGTTCCCTGGTTTTCTTTGTTTCTGGTGTTCTGATGATCAAGCTATCAAATGTGTACACAGCGAATTCAACACCAGAGCAGGCAAGTTTCCAAGGTAACCGTGGAACTCGAAACTTGTCTATTGTACAATGTATACAAACAGGTCTAGACACTAAGGGTAGTAGTCCTGTAGCTTAGTATAAGTAAATTTACCATTCATACAACTAAATAGGAACTTGTCTTAACAGTCTACAGTAAATATAATACAATCAACATATATTTTCAGACAGATGAGTTTAAAACTTAATAAATGATAATTGAGCGGTTAAAACAAAGAGGTTGTCACATGCACGGGAATTGAGTCCCAAGCGACAATAACAACGTAGATTAAAACGCAAACGCTTATTGGTAGATGTTTGTTTGTAAACAACGACTCGCATGCAGAGGTGACGACTCCCTCTCTTTAACTTATGTTTATTATTTCAAACAGGATTCTTTGTTGTGGAACAAACTTGGTGCTACACTCGCAAACAGTAACAAAAGTGAAGAAGCCATCACTGCATATCACCGTGCACTTCAGTTAAGACCAGGATTTATCAGATCACGATACAACCTTGGCATTAGCTGTATTAATCTTGGTACTCATAAGTAAGTTTGAAACACGTTATTTATGCATGACCCTTGAAGGTCACACATCCTGGTACTATGCATGACCCCCTTAAGGTCACATATCCTGGCATTATGCATGACCCCCCCCCCCCCCCAAAGGTCACACATCCTGGTACTATGCATGACCCTTGAAGGTCACATATCCTGGTACTATGCATGACCTCTAAAGGTCGCACATTTTGGTACTCTCATGTCTCAAATAGCGTACCGGTATGTTTTTTTTTTTGACAGAAAAATTCCACTTGGTACGTTCTTATTTGGGACAGTATATTTATTTATTTTTCTAAATCTTGATTTAAAAAAAAAAATTCCTGCCATTTTCCCATCAAAATTAAAGCCAAAAGATCACACTACAATGTTGGTAAATCTCAAAGTCATCGTCGCGGGGCTCGTCATATTACTGAGTGTACATTTTTGGCTTCTTCTTTAAAACCGTTTAACCAAATGCTTTCATATTTGCAACATAGGTTCTTTGGGTAGTCTCGAGTCAGATTTGTTCATTTCGTGATGATGCAATAAAATATATTATTGTACCTCTGTCACCGTAACACCATAAGTTACAGCGTGCCATAATTTTGCGGTATTGCACTGGGTATTTTTATACGCCATCGCATCAACCTTTCCTGTGTGTCAGTCGATACTCCCGCTGTACTGTTTATGCATACTTTGCAGTATTTTTGTAATAACCTCATATTACCGGTACTATTGGCAGCACAATTGGTGGTATTTGATCAGTTGAGATTCTGTGACAATTTCTCACATTTTACTTATTTATTTTGTTGCAGTGAGGCAATAGAACATTTTCTGGTTGCATTAAATATGCAAAATGCTGTCGGTGGACCTCGTGGAGACCAGTCTGTGATGTCTGATAACATCTGGTCAACACTTCGTATGGCAATTTCTTTATTGGGTAGAAATGATCTGTACAATGCCGCTGATCAACGCAATCTTGATATGCTAAACAAAGAATTTAATATAAAAACTGAAAAATGACAGAATATTTGTTTTGATATAGGCAGATGAATGCCGAATACGGTAGGATAGATGGAACGGTAGGATTTTAAGTGCATCCAACTCGCACTGTAGTTCATTCATTTCAACATTTAAATATGCCCAAGTTAGTTGCTGCAAAAGATTTTAAGCAATAATACTACAAAGAAAAACTTATAAAAGAAAAACTTTATAAATTTCTAACTTGCTATGAAAAGGATATTAAAAGGAAATCATATTTACAGAAAATGTTTGATTATTTTTTCAGTTCATGACTGCACAATAAATTGGGGTAGGCTATTGCAATGTTTTTGGTGTAGTCTCACAAAATAAATGTAACAAAAACTTTAGTAGACATAACAAGTAGACATGTTGGTCAAAATAATTGTAATAAAATAATTTTACCTCTGCATTTCTAATATTTGTAAAGAAAATATTTTATATAACATGTAAATATTGTGCAAATAAATGTCAATAACAAAAAATGTGTGTGAGTAGTGATGTAGTATTGGCATCTGGTTATTTATGGTGTTGACCCTGCGATATTAGTGGCTTACATTAGTGAAGAATTGGGATGGTGATGACTATGCTTTTGTGTATTAAAGTATGAATATCGGGAACCCATACATAGGGAATAGGTATAATTTATGCAGCTGAATAGTTTTATATTATGCACGTAACATTAAAAATGTAAAACAAGGTATATATATGTTAAAAGATCAAACCGAAGAACTGTACATTTTTGCACGAATCAAATAATAAATCATAGATGCATTTGAATTTTGCTTCCGTGCTAACGTTTGGTGCGCCCTCTAGTGTCAAAAATGAAAGAAGTTATTCCCTGTTCGAATGAATTCTGTCCATTATCCAGCCATATCTCTCACATGCTTGGGGCTACCAAGTTCAAAATTTACAGGCGCAACATGCATTCGTTTCATGATCCTATTCAAAATGGCAGTCATTTTAAGGCCAAAAATCTAATTTTCACCATGCCGGAACCAGATTTTGGTAAACCATATTTTCTCTATTAACGATTCAGCAATTAATACAAATTTTTGCTCATGTGCACTTCTAATAGAGCTAGCATGGTAAACATTCGCGTTCTGATATTTAAGTTGTCAGTGTCCAATTTGAATGAAAAAAACTTAGAACTCCCATGTGCTGAGAGTATTAGAGACACATTTGTACTTGAGATATTGATGGAAAAGCTGAAAACTAATAATGCAAATCAGAAATATGAACAGATTTGAGTGTAAAACTAATGAGATCTGCGCAATGTAACAAATCATCTATGTACCAAGTTTTTACCTTGCCCGTACCATCAAAGATGGAAGGGAAAGGTACATTGTATATTAAGGGAAAGATTTTGTTCGGCGTTGTTGTCGTTGTTGTCGTCGTTAATAATTGTTATTGTGTGCATAATAACTTTACTAATTCTATTCCAAACTTCATCAAACTTGGCCACCTTATTCATCAGTATAATGTCTTCCCTGAGTTTGAACAATAGATGTCCTGTATGAAAATATCATGCAAAAATTGAGAAAATCTGATAAAATATTTTGACTGTTTCTACTTGACTGATCATTGTTGATACACATCAAAGGTCACTGATCTCAGTGGAAATATGCATTGTTGTATGTGTTCAATGAAGCAAATGATTTATCTTGTAATAATATCCTTGGTAATGTATCCCAGAATCCCATACTGGGTTTCAAAACCAACTCATGGAGAGATTGCACAGTCTGATACACATTTGCAAACCTACCAATAAAATCTTTACAGAAAACAAGATATCAGAAAATCAATATAAGCACTCCTATGAACTGGGTGCCAAACTTTGATCAAGATCCGAAGCTAATAGAAAATCTGTTTAGTTCAAAGTTATCAAACGAAAAACAATACATAAAAAGCAAAACATTTCATCCACATTTTAAAAAGAAAATTGTTCTAAAATATATGTATTCTGTATTTGACAAACAGTTCATTCGACAAATGAAATTCCAGGAATATGTTTCAGCTATTAGAACAGAATGCTAGTTTTTAGCTCCGCTGTCGACTTTGTCAAGCGGAGCTTATCATATGAGTGATTGTCCAGCGGCGTCCGTGTCAATGTTTTACATTTTCGACTTCTTCTTGAAAACTACAAGCCTGAATGCTTTGATACTTGGTGTATATGTACCTTGGGTAAACCTCTCTGAGGTTTGTTCATTTCATGTTGATATCTTCAATTCTCTAATTTTGGTGAATATTTTTGTCATTTTTGGTAAAAAGTGATATTTTCGACTTCTTGTTAAAAACCACAAGTCCAATTGCTTTGATACTATACATATTGTTCATTTTCTAATGATGTCTTCAGTTCTTTAATTGAAATGTACATTGCTAACAGCGGAGCTATCTCAGCCGATAGGCTGCTTGTTATAATACTGGTTTAAAAACGCACTTCAAAGATTGCAGTGTTTGAAGATGTATTTTTCAGGAGGCAACAGTACTGTTGACTTCTCCCTCCACTGGACACCAACTAACTATTTAAGTTGATTTGCATACAAAGCAGAGCTTGCAACATGATAGCTATTCATAAAGGGTGTTTTTTTTTTACTTTTCATATAATACAGTAGTCACACAATGAGGCAGTTCATATTTGTCTCAGTGAATCATTAATTTTTGACAGACACCTGTACAAAATACTTGGATAAAAACTCAATATTAATTATGACAATGCATATTTATATTGAAACAAAATATGTTAAAAGGAATTATATTATATAACAAAGGGCAAGGTCACCAGAGTTCAACTATGTTTTTGCTGACATTGCGATCCTTAAATCGTTCCTTCTTCTGTTTTTGACTCCCATGTGCGAAGCACAAAATGGGAGTCTTTGCAGTTAGTGTGTGTGTGTGTGTGTATGTGTGTCCGACTGTTCCACTGCTATCTCAAGAACCATACATCGGTTTTTGATGAAACTTGGTGCATAGATGCTCTGGGCCAATGCGCAGATTTGATTAGGTTTTGGTAAAAATCCATGCTCGTTAATTACCTAATTTGCATGATAATTAGCT